ATTTTCTATCAAACCGCCCGCTTCCATTTGATTGAAAACACTATGTATTCGCATTTAGCTAATTGTCCGGTAGCTAGAAAACCTGGTTTATTTACGCCTTACATATCGATATCTTCACTAGTTTGGCGTTAGTTGCTAAATTTTATTAGACGTAGTTATCTAACTTTTGCAAATTGACAGTAAGTTGGTGCCAGTGAATTGTGCTGGTGATCCCGTGACTGGCAACGAGTTTTACAGTTGACACTATTTTAAGTAGTGTTGTGATACTTATATAAAAGCATGGATTTCTATTTGCATAACAACGTAAGCATTAAAGACTGATTTTAAAAAAAATTGTGCAGTAGCCAGTAACGTCAGCCACGCTTAAAATGAGTTTCATGTTAATAGAGGAACTTAGTATATTGGTTAAGAGACAGAGTAAAACCTTTTTTTTACATAAGGACAACCTTTTATTAACTATGAAAGATATTCCTCTTAACTAGATTCCTAGTGCATATGTGCATATGTAATATAAGAAGTGAAATTCCCCAAAAATGGACCAGAAATACCTCTGTTGAAACCCAATGGTTCAGATGTTGTTTTTTTAAAAAAAAAAATCTTTACTTAGTTTTGCCACTCTTTTTTTCCAGCGCTTATCACATTATTCTGTGTTTGTACATGTGCTGTTTTTAGAGAATAAACAATTTGTTAAATAATAATTTAGTTGATCATTAGAAAGTTGCTGTTTTGATATTTGAATTATCCTCTGTCCTGAAAATATGCTGACATTCTCATTTGCTGCTTTTCTTTGGTTTATGTGGTAATAAACCTAATGTCTTTGGGTTTTAAAATGTTACCTGGACATACAGTATCAGTTCATTTGCAGTCATTGCCTTGGGCTTTAGAAAATTGCAATGGCCATTTTCAGTATTTTATGTTATACATGCTGATTTAACTGAGAAAAACCTCAGTATTTTACAGCGCAGTGAATATATTCATTAGCCATTAGCCTCATTTTTACATCTATTTTGAAGAGCTTTTATACTGATATGATACCCTACATGTTTCCCTCCATTGTTATTTACAGAGAAGGCCATACAAGGACAAACAGAGCAAGAGCAAGGGGATGTTGACTTATTCCTCTGACTCACTCACTGAGATAGTTTGTCCAATGGACGAAGATGCTGTTACCCCAATCCCTTTCTGTAGTGCGCCTCCCCACAGTGAACCTCCACCACCTCTCCTTCCCCTTTCCTCCGTCACTTCCAGGTATAATTGTCCCAACACCTGTTGGTTTGTTTTCCCTCTTTGCTCTGAATTTTTTTTTTTTTTTTTTTTTTTGGCTTTTTTTTTTATCATGATGGACTGATGCGCTTGGACTTGCAGATACTAATGAGCACACAACATCAAATTGTGCCAATATCCAATTACTGACAATTATCTGTAAGCGTTTTTGCAGGTACCAGTGCAAATAATATATTTTTTTTCATTCCAGTGGTTTTATATTTCTAGTTTTCTCTATTGATGCTTATCTAGTATTCTTTGCTGTTATACATGGTCTAGATTTAGACATCTAAGCACCTGTCCTTATACAATGGGGCAAATAAGTATTTGATACACTGCCGATTTTTTTTTTTTTAGAGAGAATGGACAGTTCTGTAATTTTCC